AGAAAAGCGCCCACTCAATGTAGAAACATCTTACGAAATACTGCTAAATTCCCTTGACCCCCCCCCCTGCTGACGGAGTCATCCCTATCTGAGAATTTTCTTTGAAAATAACCTCTCCAATAAATGGAAAACATATCCTCTTACAAATCTATCATGCAATCTGACCTTTTGGGCTCAACCTCAACGAAAGCAGAAAGATGAAGCCAAGGCATGTCGAAGCTCAGCAGCTGAATGTGTGAGTGTTTGAGGGGGCAGCATTGACTTTGGCACTGCTGTTCTAACTTCCCCAATGCTAGCTGGTCTCTCCTAACATAACAGTATATTATTCTATACTGCCAAGCGTGAACCACAGAGCTCTCAGGGTGGAGAGATGGATGGGACTTCCCCAAATAAACCAGAGGATTAGCCTACAACTGGAGCTGGTCAGTGGTGGCTACGGTGAATACACACACTGAACATACTTCAGCTCTGATTTACTGCAGAGCCTTAGATCAACACGCAGCTAATAACTATAAATGAAACTTGGGTTTTGTCTTGTATTTTCTAAATGACTTTTTGGGGTACTTTGAGGTGCTGTGTGTTTGTTGAAAATGATGACCAAATAAATACATGAGCTGGTTATTTGCACAGGTTTCACTTCTGCACTGTCTCATATGTCCAAGCAATATGGAGTCTATTTAGCACCCATGCTAATGCTAATCCCCCTCTTCAGAGTCAGTGTGAGGGCTGTTTGTTATGGCTAACAGCTAAGCCATCCAGTACGGAGGTAGCCGCGCTGTGAACCGGCCGGCAGATGCAGGCTTCTGTTTGCTTTGCTTCACGCTGGATCTCCATCGGGATATTTTCCGTGCTGGTCTTGTCCGACTCTGACCTTTTCGCTGCAGAACAATGGAGAGCGAATGTTTATTGGCCGAGTCGGATGGTGTTTACGAGAACTGTAAGAGAATCCAGGAGTGCATTCCTGTTAGGATTAAGTCATCCTGGGCGCTTTAAGAGACAGAGCTCCTTGTTGGATCCCCAAAGAGGGGCAGTCGGTTTAAACAGCGTTTAGCTTTTCCTTTCCTTTCCCAGAAGCCACAAGACCCATCCTTAGGTGACACATAACGCCACGCCACACGGCTCCAGAGGATTTGATTGGTGGGCTCGTGGGTCTCTTTGGCAGACAACATTAGAGGAAGTCTCAGTGAGTTTCTTTTTAAAGGGAAAACTCCCCCATGAAGCCAAACATCTATTTGTTACTCAAACAGAAACTCATAGAAGCTGGCATCCTAACACGGTGACATCACAGCTTTTCCTGCATGTGGGACGTGGGACGTGGGACTGGGGGGGGCAGGATTTCAGGTGGTGGCCACAGAAACTGACGTCATGGACTTCCACCCTCATCAGTTTTTAATTGTGCAGAAAAACAAGAGGCACGTACAGGACAGGATGGGCAGCACACAGGTGATGATTTACCTTTATTTGTGTCTCTGCCAAAACACACACAGGGACGGCGTTCAGAGATGTTCAGGGTGTGACCGAAGACAGAGGAGCGATGAGAATCCTCTGCCTTCCATTGTTCCAATGATCTTAAGTCACTGTTTACGGGTGACGTTGCTGTTTTGGTGTTTTGATGAGCAACGTTTAAATCAAGGTGTTGGCAGTCGTATGATTGTATCATTATAGATTTAGATGTATTTCTTTCTGTTTCGGTCGTCACCGCTGCCAAAGTTTGAACTTTTGTTGGGGCAGGTTTTAGGAAAGGAGAAATGGACTTGAGCTTATTTTTTTATACTCGCTTTTTACATCGTTTGTCACATTCACCAATTCGTTCCCTTTCCCACACTGATGGGAGAGGCTGCTATTTAAAGTGTCCATCAGTAATAACGAATCCCATCTATACACATTCATACAGCGGGTGTCTGGGACTGACACCGATCCCCCCTGAGAGCCACGACTGAATTTACCACTGATCCACAGCCCCCCTCACACCCCCAGGTATTTAATTTTACCAAGGGAACCATTTTTGTAGTTTTTCAATGTCTGTGTTTTCTTATATCTATTTCAAAATGCGACCTTAATGGAGTTATTATTGTTCTTGTGTTTTAATAAGAGACATTAGTTTGGTTAAACATGGTTCTCTTAGGGTTAGGGTTAGTTAATTGTTAATTGTAACATTTTGTAAGTTGCTATAAAAGAAATGGATCTACTTACACTTTGAACCAACATTAGAAGATATGTGAAGTTCACAAATATTCACGATTGAAGTTGCAGCAGATTTTCTCACACCATGAACTTTACAGCACAACCTTACACTTAAACAATAAAAAAAAAGGTGCCTTGGGTTTGTTTTTGCGGCTCAAAGCACCCACTCCTCCCCTCTCAAAGTGGTGGGTGACGGAGTGCACGGCCAAATGCCCCCTCAGCGCAGCAGCGGCAGGGTCGCGGCGGGGCCCCAGGGGCCTAGGTAAACACTGACCAGTCCAGCCAACACAAGCACCACACTGGGTTGTGCAAGGCGGCCGTGGGACATCTGGCCACATCACAGCGCTCGCAGCGTTCCTGCTTTATGAGTAACAACAGCCGTAACTCTGAGAATAGAAGCGGCAGGAGAGAACCCGATGGCCTGCCGGAGAAAAGTGCTGAGTGTGGAGAAAGACGAAGTGGGACATGAGAAGAAGAGACAGAGGCAGAAAGAGGAAAAGACTGTGTGTGGTAAGAATGGAAGGATAGAAGAAAGGAGATGAAAAAGAGCTGACCAAGGACCGAAAGGCTGAGGACGTGCTATCGAGCGAGCAGCGGGTAACGAGCTTTGCCCTTATAAGGTCGTCAAGTGAACATGAGGACGAAAGCATCTGAACTCCAGCTGCAAAATATCTGCACGGTGATCATTTCAAGATCAATTAGTCTTATTTTAAGTGTGCCAAATTGAATGTAAACAAAGGCAGGAAATCTTTAAACAACGGAGGCTGAAACTCAAACATGTTTGCTAACTTTGCTTCATGAATGTGACACAGAGTCACCATTTATTCTGATTGTTTTTAATAATTTACTGTTGTTAATCAATATAAGAATTGTTTCAGTCTCACAACAAGGCCTTACTTTATCATTTACCCAATTCAACTTTCAACTACACTACTTAAAACATTTTTAATTTAAAAAAGTGAAACGTTGTAAAGCTCTGAATGAGATCAGGTGAACCAATGGCCTTTGGTTAATATTATTGAATCCAACAAATGGCGGGTTCTTTTTCCCAACACTTGTTTGTGAATCAACATGTGGATATCTCAAACACATGTTTTTGTATTCAAGGTTGTGACGGAGAAAATCTAGAAAACTCTGGGGACCATGCATACTTGTGTAAACCGTCTGTCACCCAGCTCGCTGTCTCCACTTTAACATCATTCCCAGACCGACTGTGTCACCTAATTCTCTGTTACAAGACCTCCAAGTCGACCACGCCAACTGGCTGTAAACCGCAACCAGTTCCCACACCTATCTATCTGTGCTATCCCATTAGGGTTTACTGGCTGACCCCCTGACTTGGCCGGGGTCGTGGCCGGGGCCTTCATTAGGGGATAAATCATAAACACCTGAGCGGCTGACCTGGGCACAGAGCTGGGGCTGCGTCCATGTGGTATTCATTTTGGGTCGCGGTGGCGTGTAAATCGGGTTAAACCAGCGCCTGCGACCCTCGGGGCTCAGAGCACATATTAAAAAATGTGACCACAACCCATTCAATATGTGTAAGAATGTGTGTGTGAGTGTGTGTCAAACAGTCATGAGAAACCGGGCTGCACCGGTGAGTGTTATGACTTTATATCGAGCGTGTAATTGAATACTTTTACACAAACGCTTTATAAACTGTTTTGACTGCTTTGTTGTGGCTTTGGAAATCATTTCTCACATCGTAACTTAATTTAAAAATGAGACGTATGATGTGACGGTGTCTTCCCCTAACCAGCAGAATAGTTCATTAACAGGTCGTCTTGTAAAAACAAAACCATGTTAGGAATGTTTTTCTTTGATATGAAGTTACAAGATAAAAATGATCACCGTCACAAGAGGCTGAAAGTTTCATAAAAGTGTTTTATATTCAATTTTTCGCTGTCTTAAATGATCATAATAAAAAACTAAATGTGCTACTGCAGGTCGACCGAGGGGTCACATGCTCCAAAATGTGTTTTTGTTTAGGCTTCATCCTGCAGCAGCAAGATGGCGGTAGTAATGTTTGCATTGGTCAAATGAAGGCAGCCAGCTACTGATGTGTTCTACAAGTTCAGTCATATTATGTCAATGGAGTGTGGTAGCTTTAAAGTGAGCTCCGGATATTCCTGGCTGTGCAGCTCACAGGGGGGTGCCGGTAGCCTAGCGGTTAGTGTGCAAGCCCTATGTACAGATAGCGGTGGTCCTCTAAGCGGGCGGCCTGGGTTCAATTCTGACCTGTGGCTTCTTTCCCGCTAGTTGCTCATTAAAGAATAAACTCTCTAGGATTGTATCAACAGCAGGCAAAATAGTGGGCAAACCACAAAAACCTCCGTCTCAATTATTTACTGACAGGACGAGGACGAAAGCGAGCTTCTACCAGTTTGAGCCACTGAGCTCTGGGAGGCGCTACAGAGTGCCTCTGGCAACCAAAAATGTCTTTAAGAAGTCACTTATTCCAAGTTACATTTTACAAAATGACTGATGAGATCTGAACAATGAACTGTTTTGAATGTGTAAACCTAGCTGCTATGTTGTCTGTGTTATTGTTGGCTTGAAGGTTTTTTAACACTGTATGTAGGGCAAATTTCCACCTCTGGAGGACAATAAAGACTTATTCTATTTTCTATTTATTCTATTTTTCTGATTCTTCTCTATCGCTCTCTGATTTGTGATTCTATCTGCTGTGCTGTCTCTAAATAAAAGTATAAAAAGCCGAAAAAATAAACCTTAAAAAAATACATATGCAAAGAGCAGACATTGCAGACTTTGTGCTGACATTGAACAGCAGAGTGTGTGTTGTGCAGAGTGCTCACCTCTCCTCGGGCTCTCGTGATTAAAGAGGATCCCGTTGGTGGCAAACATGTTGTAGGCCTCTCGAAAGTTCACCACGATCCAGTAGGCGTAGAGCTTGGCAGCACCTGAGAGGTGAGGTGGGGATGGACAGACACGGAGAGACAGAAGCATATTTCACATATCTTCACAGGTATCAGCTCATGCATCAGCCCAACAGTCTTTTAAGAAGAACAAAAAGGAGATCCAGGAGATCCCTGAAGCCTCTCATTATGTTTTAATTCACTCAATCATCGAATAAAATTTTCAGGCAGCTTTTATGACAGTGCAGGCTTCTAGGATGACAATCAAAGCACGGAGAGAAACACTGATCCTCTCTTTTTTTCGAGCTGCAGAACTTTGCTGCTGTAACTGCACTACATGTCACAGTTGAACACAGCGGTACAGCAGATCATATTTCACCATCAGGAACGTGAACCGCAGACTCCTGCTGATTGACCGAAAGCAGGCACGTACAAAAAGTTCTCTGCTCTTTCCCTCTCACCATCCTCCTTCTCCTCCTCCCTTCAGCTGTGAGGAGGGGAATACCAGAGCCAGCAAAGGGAGGCGCCCGTTGATTAAGGCAGAGGTCAGGATGTGCACAGGAGGTGAAGGGAGGTCGCCATGACAACCCTCGCCTCCCTTGCCTAATTAATAAAGGAGCAGCCCTCCTCAGGATGGTATGAGCCTCCCATGCAGCCTCATTGAGCGCTGACAGATGGGGAAAGTGTCGATGAGGAGAGCATTTAGACAACACAGAACCTGGAACCTGATCGCTCGCACACGTGTGCAGCTTGCATGTGTGTGTGTATCAGTGTGTGTGTGTGTGTGTGTGTGTGTGTGTGTGTGTTGAAAGTGAGTGCTGAGTGCTGTGGATATAAAGGTGTCTTTGTTAAAGTGAGAGCCACTCCAGCCTTCAGTCAGACGTTTGGCCTCGGGGTGTGTAGAGAGCTCGAACGCTGCCTGAGCACTGAAGCCCCCTCTGTGTGTACACACACACACACACACACACGCGCACACACACGCACGCACACACACACGCACACACACACACTTATTCACAAGGAAAAAGTGCTGCAGAGGCATCAACAAATCCATGTTTGCATTTCCTTACATGGTCAAACGCAATCATTTGTCAAGTGGTGGTACAAGGTAGAAAATGTTAGGTAATCTGTGTGTGTGTGTGTGTGTGTGTGTGTTTGTGTGTGTTTGTGTGTGTGTGTGTTTCCACATGCATGCGTGTCTTTACCGTAAGGTGAGCGAGGGTAGAAGGGCGTGGTTTCCTTCTGAGGAATCTCCTGGACTTTGCCGTACAGCTCGCTGGTGGAGGCCTGGTAGAATTTCACGCTGTTGGTCAGACCACATGTCTTTATGGCATCCAGGAGACGCAGCGTGCCAACGCCGTCCACGTTAGCGGTGTACTCGGCCAACTCGAAGGAGATCTGAGAGAGGGAGAGAGAGAAGAAGAGAGCGGGATATTATTAGAGATGTGGAAACTTCTTTTCGCTTAAATTCTACAATGGATTTATACAACTTGAAACATTCTCTTTAACGAGGAAATACTCGATGTAAGACTTCACTTTTTTTTTCTTTTTTGGGGGGCTTTTCGTGCCTTTAAGGAAGAGATAGTTCAGTGGATAGAGTTGGAAATCAGGGAGAGAGAGTAGGTAATGACATGCGGGAAAGGAGCCACAGGCTGGATTTGAACCTGGGCCCCCATACATAGGGAGCGCGCACTAACCACTGCGCCACCAGCGCCCCAGTAAGACTTGACTTTTGACTTTTCTTGAGACGCAAAATTCAATTGCAAAAACATGGAATTCTCAAGTAAAATTCTTATATTTACACCTTATTGCAAGTCCATCACACCTGATGAGTACGTCACCCACAATACTGAAGACTCCAACTCCCAGAATTCCTGTTGCTTAATCCAAAGAGGGGAGGGAATTTAATGAACACTTGGAGGCGGCGACTAAGTCTAAATTAGAAATGGATGCGTGCGTTCATGACTTTTGGATGGTGTGTACTCAGACTGTGTGTTGCCTGTGTAACTGCCAGGTCGGCCCTCACGCTCCTAATCAGGCGTGACGGTTAAAAGCTGTTCTGGTTCGTGGTCACCACACCTGGAGCGAGCGGCGTGAGCCCCGTCTGTGCGGAGGAAACGCTCCGGCTCTTTAGTGCTTCCACACCAGCGCTGTGCACACGGGCAGATAAAGAGCCCTTATTGAGACCCGGGGACCAAAGAACACTGGGCCTCTATTCCACTCACAGTACGTACACACACACACACATAATGAGCAGGTTTGATCAGGTTCAATTACGCTCCACAGCTCGGTGTAATTAACTGTGACGCTCCACTCACGCTTTGACTTTGCATGCTGGCATTTTCATTTATATTTACATCGTTCACAAGAGAAGGTGAGCGGACGTTAAACCCCAGTGTTAATGTACTGAACTGTACGTCACGTTAATCATACGGCAAACACAAAGTCAAAACAACCTGAAGCCCCCTTTATAACATGTGGAATAAAGCCCCTCTGTCTCTGACACTGAATATCATGTGTTACAAAGTTTTGTTCATCAAGACGTCAGAGCAAAGGTTGGCTCACTGTCAGCCCAACAGCCTCACAGGGTAAAAGGGATTCAGTTGCATCTTATAACGGCCGTTTTCACACATGCACCCTGAAAATATCAAGAAAATATCTCGGTAATTTAAGGAGGACTGCTCTCCTGGTCTGGCTGTCCTCATATGCCCACTCTCCATTGGCCGTCATTTTGCATTTGTGGATTTTCAAATAGTTTTCCCACAATGACAGCTCAATAGGTTTGACTCTTCTTGTCGAAACGTTAGTCCTTTGCACCTTAATAAATTTGCCCTAAGTGATTCTTGTGCTCCAGTACTTTCTTTGGATCCTCTTTGAGAGAAGGAGTCTCTGAAATATTTCTTAAACTCTTCAGAATATTTGGAATGAATCCTTAATAGACAATACCTGCCTTCATGATCAGGTGAGAATAGTCAGCAGTCATACACAAGACTGTTTTTCTCTCTCAGACAACCGACTATCATTTAGTTCAAGGTCTCTCCCGTCCCACTTTAGCTCTTCCTCCGTCACTGCGGAGTTCCTCCTTCCTCCACCTCTTCCTTCCTCGCACATTTCTCCTCCTGCTTCATCTCCTCGTTCTCTTCCTGGACCGCATAAACCTTAATTTATGCTACAGAGCCTCCTCTCACCGAGACCCCCCCCCCCGTCCTGCTGTCTGTGTGTGTGAGTCCCTCCATTCCTCTTGTTTTGTGTGCACCACACACACACACACACACACACACACACACACACACCAGACGCCAGGTATCAAAACCAGCTGAGAGGGGCAGGGTCTACGACGCCTTGACAACTTAAATCAAACAAATTGCCTTAATGCCTCCATTCTCTGTCATTATGTAAGGCAGGGCCTGAGCGCTGACGTTTTAAAGGCCAGACGCTTGTGTGCACGGCTTTGTGTGTGTATATGTGTGTGTGTATCTGTGTCTGTGGGGGGGGGGGGGGAGGCTGCAGGGCCCCTCGGTCGACCTGCAGATATTGTTCTGTTCTGGGAAGTCAGCCAGGCTCTGTCAGCATTGGGGGTCCGCCGCCGACATTTAAAAAAAAAAAAAAGAAAAAGGGATCCGTTTAAAAAGTTCTAAATGTACAGGATATAGGTGCTGCATTTAGTGGTTTCATTTCTTTCCTGCTCACACAAGGTCTGCTGAAATGCATGCCTGAAACTGGGGAATGTGACTCTGCACATGTGTGTGTGTGTGCGTCTTGACAGATGTATAAATATGAACTACATTTATTCAGCCATGGCCTCCCTCTGCATACCTGCATGGCTCTCAGCACAGAATAGTATGGAGACATTGAGCTGTATATACAGAAATAGTGCCAGAATTAAATAAATTAAAAGTGCCCTCCTGGCACTGTCTGAATTTCTGTCTGCTCTTTACCTCAGTGGTTCTCAACTGGTGGGTCAGGACCCAAATTTAGGCCATGGAGCCGTTTTGAGTGGGTTGCGAAATAATGTCTCTGAAGAAGTCTATGAAATAACTTTTTAACCATGTTGTTTCTTTATTCTGTCACATGTTTTGTACCGACTCGGATCCAAAGTGCATAATTATTCCTTAAATTGATTGGAATCTGATTAACACGTCTTCCTCAGAGTAGCTCACTTGGTAGAGTCGGTCACCTCTCAACCGAAGGGTCTGGGGTTCGATCCCCAGCTCCTGCAGCAACATGTGTCCTTGAGCAAGACACTTAACCCCAAGTTGCTCCCACTGCTTTGCCAGCAGCGTATGAATGGGATTAGTTACTTTTAATGGTCACTTTACATACAGTATCAGCCTCTGCCATCAGTGTGTGGATGTGAAGGTGTGACACTCGATGTAAAAGTGCTTTGAGTAGTCAGAAGACTAAAAAATAAATATACAAGCTCAAGTCCATTTAACATTTACCTGATGGAATGGCAAAAGGTAACAATCCTCTAAATTTTTGTTTCATTGTTAAATATTTTTGTTGATTTGTCTTTAAACAAAAAGCCCCGAAAACATGTCCCTGCTCTGTTTCTATTTGTTCAGAGGAATCACTAAAATAAGACTTTAAAGTGGCAGATTAATAACCTTTGTGGTGAACCGTCAATCATACCTCAGATTCCACACAAATTACTGTGGAAGGTGTACATGAAAGCATCTGGAGCGCCTTTCTATGAGCATCACTTTCCCTTTGTTGTGAACTACGACCAAAGCACTGAAACTCTGGCACATTCCTGCAGACCACAAACACCCAAATAGAGAAAATCACCAAGACGCCCCGGAGGTGGAGACAGACCGAGAAAGTGTGTGTGTGTGTGCATGTGTGCATGTGTGTACATGAGCATGGGTGGGGGTTTTAGTGGAGGGAAACCACAGTCAATTACACCTTTACTCATCACATTACAAGCCAGCTGAAATTAGAGCAGTCGTGTGTTAACAGGGCAAAGACAAACAGGCAGAATTCCCTCCAGGAGAGAGAGGTTTCGACCCGACCCGGCAACCCACGCACTGCCAGACGGATCATTTACACCGCTGTCGTCAGGTCAACGACGGTGTCGCTCATGTGCATTATCAAGCCTTGATACAGACCCCACTTTCCCCGTGCAAAAATGAAGACTTCATGCAGCGCTGATCCTCTCAGAGTTTGCAGAATGATGTCAGTAATCAGTAAGCGTGACTTAAGGCGGGGGGGAAGTGTAAGGGTGTAATTTGTGTTTTAATAGAGCAGTCGTAGAAGAGGAGAAGCTTTCCTTAAGACGAAGCAGGTGCCTTTGGATCTGAGAGTAGATTAAAGGAGCAGTCTGTAAGATCACTCACTCATACAGGTGCATCTCAATAAATATAGAATATTGTGGAAAAGTTAATTTATTTCAGTATTTCAATTTGAAAGTGAAACTCATATATATATATATATATATATATATATAGAGTGGAATAATTGCACACAAAGTGAAATATTTCAAGCCTTTTATTTGTTTAAATCTAGATGATTATGGCTTACAGCTCATGAAAACCCCAAAATCAGTATCTCAGAAAATTAGAATATTGTGAAAAAGTTCAATATTGTAGCCTCAAGGTGTCACAGTCTAATCAGCTAACTAACTCAAAACAACTTTAAACAGTCTCTCAGTCTGAAAAAATGGTATTACTGAAACAAATGAACTTTTCCACCATATTCTAATTTATTGAGATGCACCTGTATATGTTCCCTGACTGAACAGTGGAGTTTCTAAACCTGTCGCCTCAGTCTGGATGTTACAGCGTAATATCCCAGTGTTCATGAATGTTGGTTTTCAGATTTCCCACTTAAAGAAACATTTGGTTGCTTAGTTGATGCAACTGCTTAGCTCGGAAATGATTGTTGAAAGAAGCCGACGTGACTGTTTGACGGGAGAACAACGGGACTTATGAAATCCTATCTATCCTCAATATGTCTCAAAAGTTTCACATAAGCTGCGTTCTTATTACCATATAATATGAAGGAGGGGGCTCTACGAGGCACCAACAACTCGCTTTTCTCACTCAACAGAGCTTGTTTAGCTTTTTTGACAAAGTGGAGACAGTGGTGCATTAATTCTATCCACATCTGTGATTAAAATGTTGGGCTTTGACTTGTGTCAACAACACCGGAAGAAAAATGTTTGCTGTCAGGACTAAAAAAAGTTCATAAGCACATCAGTCCAGTTCTGAGGTCTGTACACCGGCTCCCAGTCTGTCAGAGAAAAGATTTGAAAATCCTGCTGCTGGTTTATAAAGCGCTTAAAGGTTTAGGGCCAAAATACATTAGTGACCTCCTGATTAATTATGAACCATCCAGACCGCCCAGGTCGTCTGGGACAGGTCGGCTCTCTGTCCCCAGAGTCAGAACCAAACACGGAG